CGTAGAACTTCCGTTCATCTTCAGAACACAAATTAAGATATTTCTGATGAATTTCGAGAGCTCTCTGACCCTCCCATAGACAGCAAGGATACTACCACAGTCTAGGTCCAGAAACGTAAATGTGAACATGATTTGAGAAATACACTAAAAATTTGATGTAGGATTTACTTTGCAACCATTTTAATTCAGAAATAGTACATTTCACAAATAATTGCAAAGAAACTACTTTGAATCCTGTTTTTTTTATACAGTGTACTTCATGTAAGTCTACTGCATTCCCCAGTTTACAATGCCTCACACTTTGGGAATCACTGCTCTAGACAACAACAGATTGTGAAACTGAACTTGAGAAACTTGAGACTGTGTGACGACACCCATTTCTTTTTCAGGCTGGTGGTGGCAGTGGAGGAGGCATTTGCACACATTCGTCACATGCAAGAGGAGGAGCAGAAGAAGGCACCTGGTGACGTGATGGACCCACGTGAAGCGGCTCAAGCCATCTTCCCTTCCATGGCCCGAGCACTGCAGAAATACCTCCGCACCACCAGACAACAGCACCTCCACAGCATGGAGAGCATACAGCAGCACTTAGCCTTCTGCATCACAAACAACATGACACCTAAGGTGAGGCCACTGACAGTGACAATCCCAGTGAGGTGGTTTTTATCACAAAATAATCCCAGACAGGGTGTTCATGAATAATCTTGAAGGGATTCATTTTACAGTAAAGACTGGCAGCATATGGAGATAGGAAGGCAGCCAGGCATGTCTGAATCAATCCAATGATCATGTCATATACTGTTGGCTGAGATGCTTTCATCTGATCGATTTTTGAAGGCAGCATTAATGTATCCTTCGCTGCCTTTGATATCCCACAATCCCATACGTTCCATTCCGTGACAGTTGAGCTTAAAAATAAAGATGGTGCCTGAGAGTTGTCACCAAGCCTATACTGTTTTGTTGTAAATCATTAAACTATAATGCTGCCTCTAAAATCTGAGGCACCTTCATGTGCAAACACTGTCTGCAAAGTCAATGTCTGATAGGGCAGCAAGGGAACAAGTCAACTTTCTAAGCTTTTAGATGCAGCTATAGACATAAAGTGTATTTAAATATTATTATGTGAGTGCTACGAGAGATACAAAACTATAAAAATATAGTTTTGCTCTCAGTAGTATGCCATGATTGAGCAGAATCTAGGATGCCGTATGTATGGATCAAGACTGATACAATGTGCCAGGTTTCAGAACAAGTCAGTGGAGCTTTTAAGGCCCGTTCACACCAAGGACAATAACGATAAAAATATAGTTCTAAAAATCGTTCTCAGTATTAAAGAATAGCAGAGTCCACACCACAGCTATAGCGATAAAGGCACAGAGAAACGATATCGTTGGAATCACTTTCAGAATAATTTTTTCCAGCTGATGAATGATACAAACATTGACACCCAATCAGAATCCATCCTGCTACAACGAGCTCGAGAATTTAAAGCGGCAGATGAGTGTGCACTTAGAATAACCAGAAAATATCGTCCACTGGTGTGAACGTTAATATCTTTATAGTTATCGTTCTTGGTGTGAACGGGGCTTTAGTGGAGTCAAATATATGATTGTTTAAGCTCTCATCGACTTTAGTCTAATGTTATTTGACTGTAATGATGAAGTGTGTTTTTGTTTTTCAGGCATTTCTGGAGAGTTATCTGACCACAGGCCCTACACTGCAGTATGGAAAGGACCGCTGGCTTGCCAGGCAGTGGACCCTTATCAGCGAAGCCTCAGTTACCAGTGGTCTGAAAGATGGGGCCGTTTTTCTGCTCAAATGCATTGACTTTAGCCTAGTAGTCACTACCAAAAAGATACCTTATATTCAGCTTGCTGAAGAATTCATCGACCCAAAGTCACACAAGTTTGTGCTTCGACTGCAGTCTGAGACTTCAGTTTAGATGGGGGGTTTTTTTCTCGTTTATTTTGTTTTCAGCAAAAACTGATTTTCTTCTGGGATGTATTTTTATTTGACTTTCAAGTAATATATATGTATATCAAATATTTCAATATATTGCTTTTTCTTTTATGAGTTTGTTTTGTTCGTGCTTACATGTTCATCGGAATTAACACGTTTGCAGTCAAACCAAACAAAATCAGATCAGATAAAACTGTTATGGAGGTTGGGTATAATTACTGAAGACTACATATTAATGTTTGTAAAATACAGAAACAGTAAAGGATGGAGGATAGTGGGTGCAGTCAAATACTTTTTCAGTGGACCACAGAGAGATGGATGGACTCAAATGGGCACGTTTTCTCTGTCTCGCTACTCTATATAAAAACACTCTGGGAATATGATCTGCAGACTTTCTGCAAGATCCACAATAGTGCAGTTGGAGCTGCACAGATGAGACTTTGAGAAACATTGGCCAATTACTGTATCGTTATAGCAACAGGTTTTCCCATCATAAGGTTCACATTGACACCCAATCAGAATCCATCCTGCTACAACGAGCTCGAGAATTTAAAGCGGCAGATGAGTGTGCACTTAGAATAACCAGAAAATATCGTCCACTGGTGTGAACGTTAATATCTTTATAGTTATCGTTCTTGGTGTGAACGGGGCTTTAGTGGAGTCAAATATATGATTGTTTAAGCTCTCATCGACTTTAGTCTAATGTTATTTGACTGTAATGATGAAGTGTGTTTTTGTTTTTCAGGCATTTCTGGAGAGTTATCTGACCACAGGCCCTACACTGCAGTATGGAAAGGACCGCTGGCTTGCCAGGCAGTGGACCCTTATCAGCGAAGCCTCAGTTACCAGTGGTCTGAAAGATGGGGCCGTTTTTCTGCTCAAATGCATTGACTTTAGCCTAGTAGTCACTACCAAAAAGATACCTTATATTCAGCTTGCTGAAGAATTCATCGACCCAAAGTCACACAAGTTTGTGCTTCGACTGCAGTCTGAGACTTCAGTTTAGATGGGGGGTTTTTTTCTCGTTTATTTTGTTTTCAGCAAAAACTGATTTTCTTCTGGGATGTATTTTTATTTGACTTTCAAGTAATATATATGTATATCAAATATTTCAATATATTGCTTTTTCTTTTATGAGTTTGTTTTGTTCGTGCTTACATGTTCATCGGAATTAACACGTTTGCAGTCAAACCAAACAAAATCAGATCAGATAAAACTGTTATGGAGGTTGGGTATAATTACTGAAGACTACATATTAATGTTTGTAAAATACAGAAACAGTAAAGGATGGAGGATAGTGGGTGCAGTCAAATACTTTTTCAGTGGACCACAGAGAGATGGATGGACTCAAATGGGCACGTTTTCTCTGTCTCGCTACTCTATATAAAAACACTCTGGGAATATGATCTGCAGACTTTCTGCAAGATCCACAATAGTGCAGTTGGAGCTGCACAGATGAGACTTTGAGAAACATTGGCCAATTACTGTATCGTTATAGCAACAGGTTTTCCCATCATAAGGTTCACAAGCACATCATCTCAGCCAAATTACCTTCTACTACTGTAAATGCACATCAAAAATTTCCAATGCACATTTTTAACAAACTTGTTTTTGCTGATAGGACATGTGTCTTTGTTTATATATATATATGCACATTGTATACCAATGGGAGATATTGGTGTGTGTGTGTGTGTGTGTGTGTATGTGTGTGTGTGTGTGTGTGTGTGTGTGTGTGTGAGAGAGAGAGATAGAGAGAGACATTGGCAATCAATACAATGATCCACTTAACACATTTTGTTCAAATTTCTTGATCAGATCTAATGTTTTAATAATCATTTCTCTCATTGTTAAATTTTGGACTTGTAAAGACTGTATAGTTTTGGATTATTAAGCATGAGAGGTGAAAAAAAAAATCTGTTCTCAAGCATTAAGGCAAACATTCAAACCAGACACATTTTATAGCACACTACAACATTACACGTTGAAAAGTTAAAATGATGCAAAAAGTATGTCATAATTTAGATTTACAGTTTATCACTGACTTTAAACTGAATACATTTTTAATTATGAGATAAAAGTTTATTATTATGAGACTAAAAATAATGAAAAAATATATGAAGTAAGCCAGAATTTTGACAAAAGGTCAAAATTCTAGTAATTATGACATGAAAAGCTGATATTGAGATGAAAGCTCTTGGTGAGATATAAAAAAATGGATGTGAATACAGTTAAGCTAATGGTGCTGAAGGACACTGTCATGACTTTTAAGAAATTAACAGAGAACATGTACCTATTTTTTCTTTGTGGCACAATTCTTCTTTTTTTCCTCATGACAATTATAAATATGATCACTAAAACCATATGCTTAAATCCCAGATCTATATAAATAAAGAAATAAAGAGGTGCTTGGCCTGTACCCTGCATGTCATGTATTTTAAGAGGTGCTTTTTACAGCAGACTGTAGGGAGTTGTAATTGGACATGGACTCAATTTGAGCTGTTCAGATGAGTAGAGATGATGTGTGATCTCTTGTGTCCTGTCCTGTTTCTTGTTCTATGCCTCACAGCAGTGTAGCTATAAAGAAAACTGTCACGAACGGCTCATGAGAATGTCATCTAGGTCTATGAAATTAAAGAATGTCCCCCCAGAGAACTGGAATGTTTTGTCTGCCAATGTTGAGATACTGCTGAGAAACAACTGATTGGTCATGACCACTGGTCATTTTACCTTGATTTAGGATGTTGCTGTCAGCCCTTGTTAAGGACAGCAAAATTGTTCTAAAACAGATTTTTTTCAGAGTGGGTAATTTTAAAAGAATTATCACAAGTGTTCAAATATCATGCCATATCTATGCATAACATACAATTTAATTTTCTTTTTATTTAGAAACATACGACTGCTTGAAATATATATCAATTAAAGGGATAATTTACCCAACAATTTAAATTCAACAGTTTGACTTTCTTTCTTCTGAGGAACACACACACACACACACACTCAAAAAGTCTTTTGAAGCATTGTTTGTAACTAAACAGTTTTGGTTGACATTGACTTCCATTACATAGGCAAAACAAACACTGAGACATTTCTCACAATATCTCCTTTTGTGTTCCACAGAAGAAAGTCTGTTCATACAAGTTTGATGACAGAATTTTATTGTTCATCACTACATTTTTCTGTCATTGGAAGAATTAACCATCACAGCACCCTCTTGAGGGCAAAATGGATGTGTTAACATTGTCATTGACCTGGTTTTGCACACATAGACTGGCATTTTAGGTTACAATTTTTATTATGGTTTTTTATCATGGGTTATTATTATTCTTCACTTAGCCCTCATTCTCTTCTATTTTACAATGTTATTAAATGCTATTTTTTGCTAAAACTTTTATATTAAGACGTTTTTTAAGACTGTGATGGTGTGGACTGAGTTACTTTATATAAACCACTCATAATGTGACTGTGCCTCTGCTTTTACACAGTGTGTGTGTGTGTGTATGTATGTGTGTGTTATTAAGTTATTCACAATTTACAACTCACACCTCACTTGCTGAAGGCCGCTGTTTGTATGCCTGATTTTGTTATAACAAATGCTTCAAAGCTCACATCATACATTTGAATAAAACAGACATTTTTAATAACACTGAAATTCATCTGTAACCTTTCTTACTGCCAAGTATGTGCTTGTTGAGGTTGTTGAACTGTAGGCATGTTATACAACTGTACTTTGATCTTTTGTTCTGAATTAGCTCTTAAACTCATTGTTCATATAGGCCAGATTATACATATTCATTCCTTCTGATTGCAAATAATGAAAGGGTAAACATATCAGCAATGTCACACTCTTAAGTTTAGAGTGTACTTTTAACCCTCCCTGTGAGACACTGTACTGTATGTGCAAATACATGCCGTGGCAGTAAAACACTCCAGAAGCCTTTCTGTGATTCAGTGCAAAGTGAAACTGCAGTTTTAAATTTGCCACACTGGATTTTCACCTCAGCTTTGCTAGAGATTGGCTGCCCTCATAGATCACATCAGTCATGTGATTGGTCTAATTCATACTGGCGAGTCATATGGGTATGAGTCATATGGGCACATCTGGATTATGTCATAAATCTCGTTGGAAAGAGCATCCATATGAAGGTGAGGGTAACTGAGGCTGAGGGGGAGTGTTCTGCATTACAGTTTAATCACTTAGTCTGGTGGTGCACAGATGTAGTTTCTACTGAATTAAATTACTTTGCGGCTCCATCTGCAGATGTTCCTCCATACTGCTGAGCTAATGATGTTAGATGTGAAAGGTTCTAAAATCATTATGAGAAAGTTCATAAGAAACCCAAACACATTTACATGCAGTCGCTATCTACACTATAGTATACAATATATATATATATATTATTACGTTGAAAACGGCTGAGTAGAATTTTTTCAGGTTTCATTGATGAATAGAAAGTTCAGAAGAACAGCATTTATCTGAAATAGAAATCTTTTGTAACATTATAAAAGTCTTTATCGTCACTTTTTTTATCAATTTAAAGCATCCTTGCTAAATAAAAGTATTAATTTCTAAAAAATTAATTATTATTATTATTATACTGACTCCAAGCTTTTGAATGCTATAGTGTATAATGTTACAAAAGCTTTTTATTTCAGATAAATGCTGATCTTTGGATCTTTCTATTCATTAAAGACTCCTGAAAAAAAAATGTGCTCAACTGTTTTAAATATTGATAATAATAATAATAATAATAATAATTGTTTATTGAACAGCAAATCAGCATATTAGAATAATTTCTGAAGGATCATGTGACACTGAAGACTGGAGTAATGATGCTGAAATTTCAGCTTTGATCACAGAAATAAATTACATTTTAAAATATATTGAAATAGAAAGCAGTTATTTTAAATAGTAAAAATATTTCACAATATTACTTTGCTGTACTTTGGATCAAATAAATGCAGGCTTGGTGAGCAGAAGAGACTTCTTTAAAAAAAACATCTTACTGTTCAAAAACTTTTGACTGGTAATTTAAATAGGGACAGTCCAAAGACTTCTGATATTTTTTTAAACACAGCTAGTTATAAATACTATAACCTAATCCAAACAGAAAACTTCATGTATTTTTATGTAGTGTTTTTACAAATTAGGGTATTGCTAGATTGCAATGATTGCTGTGCCAAAAGGACATTTAATCAGATTTAGCTCACTTCTACAAATTTGTCGACCAAACATGATTAAATATAGGTACATGTAGCAATGTTAATACAAAGATTATATAACTGAATAGTATTTTGTGTTCTTTATTGAACATGTTGATACATCTTAAATGTCCCATAAAATTCACAAGTAATACTACAGAACACCCTATTTCTTGTAGCCATATACAGTTCCAGATGAATAAGCAGCACCAGAATTATAATATGTCATTATATGTTTTTACGTTTTGCATTATCAAATGTCTCTTGCTGGCAATGCAGACAGTTCTATAATAAATCGAGTCAACTCTGTAATTAATAAACCATCAGTCATTAAAATAAACAGAATCAATACAATCTGCAGAAAGATCGTTACAGAACTCTGTGGTTATCGTTTTCCTATATACCACTTAATCATCATCATCATCACCATAATGGTCTTCATCACTACTATCATCATCGATATCGTCATCGTCGTCGTCGTCGTCGTCATCATCATCATCATCATCATCCTCAGTGTTGACCTTTCCAGAGAGAACATCCTCTATCCAGTCCTCCAGCTCCTCCGCTGACGGTAAAGCTTCATCATTAGGCATGTTCAACCACACACTGTCAGCCTGGTCAACACACACACACAAGTAAAAGATGAAAAGAACACAGAATATATAGGCTTTGCACCTTATTTTGCCACGTAGAAGTAAGCTTTTTTCTGTGAATGTGTGAGACTTCTGATTCAGTAGGTAAATAAACAGAAGAGTAAAAAAAAGTGCTGTAAACAAACTATTTGTGCTACAAATCAGTTTGTTTATAATTATCTAATCGGATATATTTAATCATCCAATTGTCCAAGTGGATGATGCACACTGGTGGTGGTTGAGGAGAGACCCCCCCCATCCCCCACATGATTGTAAAGCGCTTTGGGTGTACAACAATACACAATAAAAGCGTTATATAAATGCATCATTCATTCATTCGTTCAATTATCATAATACTTTAACATGCTAAGAAACACCCGTTTGCAATATCAAGCAGCATAACAGACTGTTTTTTACATAAAATAACTAGAAGCGAATGAGGAATGTCCACTTTTCGAATTCAAATTAGACTTTTTTTATTAAACTGACTTAAAAAAAATTATAACCCTTTAAGAAAAAAATTGAAAATGATCTTTTAAGATTATTCAAGCAATTTTTTACTGTGTGTATTTACTAATGAACGAATAAATAAATGAATGCATTAATGAATTATGAAGCATGTGGTTTTCAAATTTGTGCAGCAATGTTATATTATTTTCTGTATATTATACAGAAATTAATATAATATAATATAATTATTATTTTCTGTATATGTTATGTACTATTATGTAGTTCTGTATATTATTTTATTGTAAAAGTAAAATATTTCAGCAGTTGTTACACCTGTGTAATGACATGGTTTATTGTGCTGTAGATCATGAATATGTTATGTGAAGCTTTCCCTTAAAAGGGGTATGTCA